GATCAAGACGATGCTCAATGTCCGTAAGATGGTTGGACGAGGATCGTGTCTTCGGCTGAGCCATGGGGCTGAAGAGGAGGGCTCTGATACCTTATGATAGAGAGAAAAGGAAGAGAAACAGATATTCATTCACGAAAATGAAAATCAGGGTAGTACACACACATATTCTAGCCTTCATACACGTCAGGCCCATACATTCTCTTTCGTGTAACTAACTCTCAGTAATCTTACTTTCTTTTCTCCTAGGATAATTACCATAAAAACCCTTACCGAAATAGTGCCTATATCAACATGCTTCTTCCCATTTATAAGGTTCTTTTGGAGTTATGCTCTCTATATATGGCCTACAAGACTGACCATAAATAAAATCATGAATTGAAAATAAAAATATGGCCCAAAAAGCGAAATTGTACTTTTTCAAGAAACAAAAAAAAATTACATTCTTCTCATCACTAACATATTGTAAGGGGTTACTTTGTGAGCTATACAATATAAAGGACAATGATCATTGATGTGTGATGAGGGATTTTAGGATCAAACTTGTAATAATCAGAAACAAATGTATTTTTCTTAGCTCATTTATTGCATCAACTTTTTTGGAGAATAGCTTTAATGTTTGAAAAGTCTACTAAGCCAAGTGTTTAATGAGTTGTGCTCTTTAAATAAACATTGTTTGACTAATAATGAGTGCATTAATAAGGAACGAAATAGAAAATAAATGATTTGATATCTTCTTGAATTATCAAAATGACATGATTTACGAAATATGTGCCCAAAAAAAAACTTTTTGTGACATTTATTGTGAAATATGTAAACTATTACATGGCCCCTTCGTCATTAAAAACCTTAGATAAGTAACTTGGGCATAAATTAAGGAAGTATCTTGTACCTGAACCGGTGGCTCACTTTTTCTAAGTAATGGGGAAGAGGACCGAAACATGCCACTGAAAGACTCTACTGAGACAAAGATGGGCTGTCAAGAAAGTAGAGAAGGTAGGATGGACAGTTGGTCAGATCCCCCCTCTTCCAGGTCCATCACAAGGGAAACGAAAACCAAGATTTGCTTTATCCGGTATCAATCGTGAGCTACGAGCAAATAGAACACCCATTGCAATTGCCAGAAATACTAGGCCCGCTAAAGGCACAAAAATAGAGGGTAAGTTGCTGAGAGTTGTCATAGAATGGGTACCTCGATTTAATATTTGTACCTGTTATTTTTTTTTAGTCAAAACTTGACAGCAATTATTCACTTTATTCTCATTGTAAAATGCCGTATTTCTATGCACACTATTTCTATTCCTAGGATTGAAACAAATTAAGCGTAAAAGTGCTACTTACAACATCACTCTGTCATGAGAAACATGCCACATAAAGATTGAAACAATTTAACAAATGATCTTATTTATTCTAGATTAATTTATAATTAAATTTTTACTTTAGGGTTTAAGATAATTAATTCTATATAATTTAATTATATAAAATAAAGCGTATTCTCACTATCTACCATGACCAAGTATAATTTATGCTCAACTTTTTGTTTGTTTGTTAATAGAAATATATTCTGATTTAGTGTTTTGCCAATTTTTGTTTGACTAATCTCAAGAAAGTTGTGCTATTATTTATATATCCATTTTGAAAATCCTACCTTTTTAAAGAGAAAAAAAATTACTGAATTGCGATTCCTGATTCTAGATCTATTTTGGTAGAATAAGGGGGTTTGTCTAATATATCTGAGTCTTTGTCTAATGATAAATAAATTAAATAATATATTAAAATAATTAATGGCACCCTTTTTTGGTTGAATTAATGCGACCATTTTATAGGTGAATGCGTATGATCTGATAGTTCTAAAAAATATTACTTCTTTTTTACTTCAAAATAAATTAAAGTTTTTTCTGCCAACAAAAAGTCAATTGAAGATATTGGAGTAAACAGACAAATAAAAATGAAACGGAATTTTTTTCCATTTTGTATATAATCATATTATAGATGGCTAAAGTATACATTTGTTCTTTTAATTTTACATGAGGTTTCAATTTGATCCCTTAACTTTAAAGAAGATACATTTGGTCCTTTAAACCTAAGATTATTAAGTTTAAATGATGATTTTTTGTAACAATCATGATTGTTTTGAAAATTAAACTAAATATATTAGTATTTAAGAATGCTTTATCAACATTTAAGATCTTAATGTCATTATTTTTCTTAACAGGACCCAAAAATATACTTTTTAAAGTTAAGGGACCAAATTAAAACTCTTTATAAAGTTAAAAAGCTAAATACATACTTTGGCCTATTATAGATTGATTGTGTAGAGACGCATCATATAAATCAATATTACTCAACTCTTCTGCTTTTAGACATAAGAATTATGTTTCACTTCCTTTTTACATTTGTTGTATATACATTTCTTCTTTCTAACTAGACTATCAGTGTAATTTATCACAATATTTTATATATATATATATATATATATGAAGCGGTATTATTTATATGTATGAAGTAGTAATTTTCTTTGAACCAAGATTAATTATTACCAAAATAAAATATTTATATAAGAGGAAATATTTAGAAGCAGTTTCTCATGAAATGGAGTGTGATGACTTTGAGGTCTGCTGCCAAGTCAGGCACACCATGCATATGTATCTACAAATGTGAGATAGAAAGATTGTAATACATTCAATCAAATTAAGGTACTAAAAACCTTTTGCAGTGTATGTTTCCTTTTACCAACGTTCTTTTGAGGTACTTTCTCATATCAGACTAAATCAATGAAAATAAAAATGTGGTCCAAGAAGAGAAATTACAATTCATAAAGCGACAAAGAATTATTCTGCTCACTAACATGTATCTTGGATTACCTTATAACATATATAATATAGTGATAATGAAAATATAGTCTGGATAACAAACTATTTGTGGGGTCAAAATTTCTCCTCATCACTAACGTAACTTTCTTTCTCTTTCATTGCATCAACTTCATTCTATAGGTGAACACGTATAGTTCTAAAAAAAAATGCTAGAAATCACAATTTCAGCCTTTTTTTTGGGTCATTTTCCCTTATAAATTTGCATCATAATTCATGTACATATAGTGTGTGTGAGGTATTTGGATTCTTTAGATATTGGAGAATTCTGTTGAAAGAAAAAAACACAAAAAGATGCAGGAATATTCCAAACTTTACGTATACTTTGTATGGTATAGATATCTCTTAACTTGATACATACATATAACTTTAACAAAGAGTTTGTAAATTAGGTTATTTAACTATGTTAACTAAAAACATTTTTAAAACATAATTTAATACTGACCAAGCCCTAATATTTTATAGATTGATGAAGCCATATTAAATTTGTGACATATTTAAATAAAACAAATCTACGTAATAAATTAAAAAATACTATAGTGTAATTAACTGTGTAATTATTTTATCATATATTATCATATGTGTGTGTATCGTATCTTAATTATTATGAGGTGCGTGTGTAATAGTTTACATTGATATAATTAATTGTTTTATTTTAAAAAATATTTTTTGATTTTATATCCTAAAGCCATTAACCAAATGATTGTCAATAGTATTATCTAAGGACAAGTGACAGTTAAAACCCACTGAAAATGCAACAATATACATTATTTTATTATGTGGGATCGAGTATGTAGATTGCACAGCACATACTTTATCAACAACTAAAACCCTCAAAGAATATCAATCATACTTAATAATAATAAATATGAAAAATCAAAAAATACTCGAGGTTCTTTTGTTGAAATTAAAAATTTTTGAGTTGATTTATTTCCATGTTTATCCTTGATCTTTTCTAGGATACATGGATATTCAAAGATAAATCATGAACTACATCAAATCCTACACAATCTTTGCCACCGCTGGTATGTCAGAAGACTTGTTGATCTCAACTTCAAGTGGGGTTTCAGAGTTTGAGACTTTTTTTGGTCGATATAGTATATAATGTTGGATCATGAATAGAATGTTATAAAACACAGAAACCTGAAAACATCTAATTATATTACCATTAGCACTTATTTTCATTCCATATACATGTTAGTAGTGTAAGAGAATGATCCTTACCAGAGAAATCATTAGTTTTCCTATATCTCCAGAGAAGTTTGCCCAAGAACCTGAGGAATTTTATTAGTATGAGATTACTAACTCGATCAAAAAGCTCATGCTTCGTATATAACTGCAGGTTGTCAATACAAACCTTGATCTATGGATTGTATAACCATTTGACCATAGTTTCCTATGCTTCCAGAAAAGTCCAGCAATATGTTACCATTGCTCCACCCTTCTGTACTCTTTCTCCTATAGTTCATCACAGCCTGCACTTAATATAATTCACCTTGTTAATAATATGCTAGCTACAAAAAGCTAATTAAGAGCAACAATTTTCAAAGACAGCCATATAATAAAGAAAAGAAGTTCTTCGGCAGGTTATTTATTTGGATAATTTGAAAAGCATGATCACCATTAGCTTCTGTAATCATATTCTTTCAACACAAATTTCAAAAGCAACAGTTGAATAGAAAATGAAATAAATCCTAACCTGGGGAAGATATTTTATAACCGTCATACAAACTTGAATGCCACTGCAAAATAGTTAATTTATACAGAATTCGTTAGAAGGAAACCCGTCACAAATACACATTATTCTTATCATGTCATTAATTAAATTAATTTATGTATATCCGTACCGACTGGGAAAAGAAAATTAGTGTCGTTAAAAGCATAAAAGATACCTTAATATTGAGAGAAGCCAAAGCCAATGATGGTTAGGCAAAGCTATGAAGAAGCATATTGCAGCAACTGACCAAGCAACAAATAGAATTCCACAAGCTATTTTTGACACCTTCTGATTTCCACGCTACAACATGACAAAAAAAACAAGAAGAAATTTCAACAATTAATTGCAAAGAAAAATAACAAACATAAAATGTTACAAAAGCTCAACGGAAAAGAAAGCAAGGTACTACCATCATAGATTGCAATCTGGAATATGGTAAAAATTGTGAGCAGAACAGCATGGGATGAGAAGGCAACATCATTTGCTGCTACAGGTATCATCTGAAATATAGATGGAAAATAAAAAATGATCTGTTAATATCAAAATTTTAAGCTTTGATAATTAGTATTTATAAATTGGATTATACAAGGATATCTAACCTCATTATGACAATATTTGTCTTTGTATTGCTTCTGAACAGTAGAACTGAGGTATAGAGATGCATTGTATATCAAATAACAGGTGTGCTTCGTGAGATTCAACACCTCAAAATCAAAGTTCAATCCCACCACACTGAAATAATTCAAAAATCAGAAGGTGAGGCAAATTAGAATGGTAAAAAGGAAAGAAGCAAAAGCATGATCAAAGTCAAAAAGTTAATAAGAAAATGAAAGTTGATTTTTTTTCGCCTAACACCTTTTCCTACGATAGTTTAAGATGACTTGTGGGTAGAAACTGATAGACTACAAGGTGAAAACAAGCCAACCCACAACTTCGTAAGAGACATGGAGGGGCAATGAATTCCAAGAAGCCATTTTTGGTGTGAAGAGCTTGATTATTACTTGAGGCTTCTTTCCAGAGAAGAAGACTTAATATTAATCAACAATGTAACTATGATTATACCAAATCATCACATTGCCTTTTATAGCGAAACCAAATAAGGATATGATAGTGCATCATCATGATATACCTTTTTGTTCTCCTAGTCTTTTTTATTCCCTTGTTTATCTTTCAAGAAGAGATTAAATTGAATTTCGAAACCACCCCCACGATGTGCAGAATATAAAAATGTAAATAATAAGCGGCGTACATGATCAAATGCCAATATATAAGTATTAAATGATTAAAATAGGAAATGAATTGAATATTAACGTCAATAATGTAAAAACCCTTTCCTCAAAACATTATAACCCGTCATAAAACCACTACTATGATAGAAAAGGAAAGCTGTTAAAATGAGCTACCATAGTAGAAGGAAAATTTCATATTTTTAGAAATTGACTTTCAAACTCAGGTCAACCCGTAATCCGTTGCATGCAACTAAAATCATTCAGTCATATCTACTGGGCCTTTGAGCCTCTGGCCCGGGTAACAACATACATCAAAAGCAGCCCATCCAAGTACTTTTCAACCATGTAACAAAGTTTCATAACACAATAGAAATGGTCCCCGGCCAACTAAAATGAGGAGATAACATATTCTCCAATTTACAATAAGGCCGGGTAATCAAAATATTTCAAAAGACCCTAACTATGGCAATATACAACTGTTCATACATAAACAAAGGCTAGAAGCCTAAAGCTAACCAAGCTCAAGCCTCTACGTCTCTTCCCGAAGGCGCACGCCTAGAAACTTTACCTGAAAACATTGTAAACCACGGGGTGAGACAAAGTCCCAGTAGCCAACCTTTCCAATACTAGGTACTACTAAATAGGTGCTCGTGAGGTGTCAAGTGGGGCAATTCACAAGTAATATGATAACAAGATAGCCACAACAATTCATGCAAGTGAAATGATGCAAATCCCATCAACTATATCCCTCACTTTGGGGGATTTTCAAGAGCCGAACCCGGCCTATCCCTCACTATGGGGGACGTAAGGAGCCACAAAAGGCCTATCCCTCACTCTGGGGGACGTAGGGAGCCAAAAGGCCTATCCCTCACTATGGGAGACATACTAAGCCAACCATCATGCATTAATGGAGGCCTTACCACGTGGTAGTAACTATCAAAAACTCTCACCAATTCCCAATTCATGCATCATGCTCAAACCATAATCAAATAGTAATTGAACATTTCATAAGTAACTTCATTCAGTGGCATATCCTTCATAATTTCAAGATTCATTCATCATCAATCGAAACCCCACAAGACGGTTTTCCCTTTTTATATACAACATATAGTTTGAACATAATTACTACTTGGAGCACAAAACATAAATCTACTCACAATACCACAGAAGCAAGTACTAAGGATTGGAAAGTGGTTACCTCTCGCCTGAGCAAGGAACAACAAACCAACGATGTGGCCCCGTGCACTACCAAGACTCACAACCGGTCTACACAAGCACACAAACACACAACCATCATATATTAACTTTCAAACTAATAATGTGGCCAAAACAACACTTGGGAACACAAAATTCCTATCTCCCATCAAAACTCTACCCAACTCAAAGGGTATATCTATCAAGGCAACACTCCAAAGTCATACTAATCCATTAAAACCTTAATTCCTTTCCAAACATCAATTAAAATTCATAACCTCAAGGACCCACTATAGGAACTCTACACCCAAACATCTATTTTGAACAATTTAAGTTCTAACAACAATCTAAACTGATTAAACATCCAATTTAACCCTCCTTAACACAACCCAAATCACAAAACTCATAATCAACCTCTACATTGTCATTCTCAATCCCAAATCACCTATTTCCATAAATCCTAGCTTCAAAAACTCAAGATTCTTTAAATCCAAGGAAACTACACCGATTAAATACTTAAACTAACCCAAAGCAATCAATTAAACTCAAAACAATCGGTCAAAAACCTCAATTCCATCACAACTTAGAAAATCCTAGGGTTCCACCAAAAATCCTTAGAAATTCCAAGAAAGAAAGCAGATTAGAGGTTAAAATCATTTACTTGAAGTAATGGATCCTTAGAAATGCCCCCTCCAAGCCAAAAATTCGAAACCCTAGCAGAGCTCCTCCCTCCTCCTTCAGATTTTCTAATTTTCGCACACTGAACCCCTCCCGCGACTATATAGATTCGGGACCTTTCGCCGCGGCGAACTCCAATCTTCGCCGTGGCGAACTAATCCCGAGAGGGATTACTCGCCTGAAAACCTGAATTCACTGCGGCAAACTCCAATCTTCGCCGCGGCGAAAGCTTCCTGAGAGGAAACTCTCGCTCGCCCAGAAAAACTTCGTTGCGGCATGCCCTTACCTTCGCCGCGGTGAAACCTTCCCGAAAGGGAAGCCTCGCTCACCTAAACAACTTCGCCGCGGTGTCCCTATGACTTCACCGCGGCCAAACCTGCCTGAAACACAAAGCCTACCTGGAACTCCAGGGGCACCGCGGCGAACATACCCTGAGAGGGGTACGTTCACCTATTCCTCCAACATACCTCAAATTCAACCCAAACACCAAGATCAAGATTAAATTGCTAATCTATCCTCAAAATCAACCAAAAGAGGCTATTAAAACCCGATAAGACTTAGAATGTTACAAATAAAGGAAAGCAAACGTGGGTGGGAAACTGGGGATATAGTGCTAAGGTGCACTGATGGCTTGTCTCTCCGACAAGTCTCCACAACCCACCCACACGTAATTGACCACTTGGTTGCAACGTTGGTTAAATGTTTTTTTTTTTTACAAAATAAATACAATTATTCCACTATCTTCTTTTTTTTAATGAAAATATATTTATATAATAATTAGATTTCAAATTATTGCCTTACTTTGTTATAAAGCTTAATTAATCTTTATGAACACAATATTCTGTGTCATACCACTCTGGTCCTTATTATTTGTCACTTTGGTCCTTTTATTTGTTATTTATATCCCTTTAAATGCTTCATTTCAATTATTTTCTTATTATTATAGTAAAGGTGAAGAGAAAAAGAATATATGAGAGAAAATATACTAGCGGTTTTCACTTGGAAAAAAACAATATACTTGCATTTAATGTTCTCCTTAATAAGGGTAACAGTAAAAGATTTAATTTATTTAATATTTTTCTTGATATGTGAGAAAATCCTAGAAGAACCAAAGTAGTATGATATTGGATGAAATTAATGTGAAAATAAATAGATGTGGGACTCTCGTACCTCATTGTGAGGAGTAGCATCAAAGCCAAAGTTTGCCTCCCAAAGCGCCGCTACCTAACTCGTTTCCAATATCATCACATTTAATTTGCTCTTTTCTATATTTTTCCCCTTTGGTTTTTTTTTTTTTTTCCCCCGATCCACCAGTTTGTGTTCATTTTGCCTCTCACTTTGTTTTGGCCGTCACCTACTATAAACGACACAAGACAACTGAGAAAATTATGCAACTTTATGTATATTTTAATTACCCATGATCCACATGCATTAGCAAGATTTATAATCTCTTTTTGACTTTTAAAGTTGAATAGATTATAATCAGACTATATACTATATTAATTATACGTATAACATAAACTTAAGGGGAAAGATACAAAAAAAATACTCCAAATGCTGTAAATCCCAATTTGGAACTCTGAAATGGCCTTATGAAGTCTTTAAGGATGGGTTTGGGATTAATTAAACTTTGTAGAAAGATTACCTAAATAATCTTAGTTGAAAATTTCAAAAATGAAATACAAAATGGCAATAACAATTTAACAAGAATGATTTTAACTTATCAAATTATAAAAAACAAATGTAAGGCAGATTGACAACATAATTTCACGAGTGATTAAGGCAGTGACAACAATTTTCACTTCTTGTCAGCGCAAAAGCTGAAAATCTAGTGAAATTATGTTGTCTTTGCCTTAGTTGTCGTCATCATTTTATAAGTTAAATTTGTTACTTGTTCAATTGTCATTTTCATTTCATTTTTTTTTTCATTTTTCATATTTCACATTAAGAGCATTTAGGTAATTTATTTACTAATAAATTTAATCCTAGACTGATCTCTAAGTACTTCATAATGATCAAGCTATTTTGAAGTCATGAATTGAGATTTTTCACTATTCTTGCTTTATTCAATCGAGTTCCAGCAAAATCTCAGTACATATATATAAGCTTGACCAACACCTGGTCACTTTGATTACCCTCCTTTTGCATTCGGAGCAGTTTAATCCCCTTAACATTCCCTCTAATCTGGAGTATCTTTCAATAAACAATGAGATGAGATCACCCAATGATCAGAATATATAAGAAACCTCACAATGTTTATAATATGTACAATAATTATTTCAAAAACTGTATAACTTTGAATTTAAAAGATATCAAATAATTTTTAAGTTTTTAATCTAAAAGATGAATATCTATAACTAGTTTAGATCAAAACTTTACAAATCATTTATGTTAAAAAGCTGCCACCCAACAACGTTTGATCGACAACAATTTTGCAAATGCTAGCTAATAATTAGTCAAATTAATCTTATATTAAGGACCGAAAGTAGTATATTGACAAGGTTGACTTCATAATTCTGCCTACATATTGGTCTCTGAGTTTGTATTTGCAAATTTTCAATAAAGAAATTTTTCATGACCAATACATCGATTAAGATTTTCAATGGATGGTTCGTGTTTGTTGGGACTGAAATTTCAACAATCTTGATTTGTCATTTATTTTGTCCTGCATTTTGTTGGACTGGAGGCAATAGAAAACTCCCCATCGACCTCTGTGTTCTCCGAGATGGAATGGAGGTAAGATGAACGAGCTTATCAAAACCTAATAATGATGGCTTGGCATAGTCACTTGTTGCTTTCTTTTTTCCATCGAAAACATACGTATGTGGCCCTAATGAGTTTGGAGACTTAGCTTTTATAAGTGGATTAATATACAAGGACTTAATTCATTATGACTGTATTTTAATTTGTACTGCTTCTGAATAGTAGGGCTGAAGAAAAAGATGGACTTAGATTCCTTTAATAGACCCTCGATTTAAGAATATTAATTATTAAATTGTGATGGCATATAGTATCAGGGAATAAATTACATTTTTTAAAGAACAATACTTAAGTTATCCTTATATCTATTATGTCAAGTTTTCCAATCATGTATAGCTATGTGTCTTAATTTTAAAATATCATCATTAAACTACAAACCCACCTGAAAAAAGTGATATATGACCATACATAATTAGAGAACTTAATATAATAAATATAAGTAACTTGATATAATTATTTTCTTTTAAAGAATATGGAGGTCTTTAATTATATTATTAAATATTTTTTCTAAAATAAATATAGTTCCTCGGTTCCTCCCTTATGAATAGTCAATACTCAATACTATTACATCACAATTGGATAATTAATATTCTATGACCCCAGTGAGTTTGGAGACTCAGCATTTATAAGTGGATTATACAGGATCAGTCTCGTTATGATTGTATTTTTCTTTGCATCGATGTTGAATAGTGGGGCTGAAGCGAAGAACGCGTCTTTGGTTTCCCTCTGTTAAGCCTCAATTCAAAATATTAATTAACAAATTAACTGTACTTTAATTTACTAGCGTTAATGAATTAATTACACTTTTCTAAAAACATACAGAGGTTTTTAATTGTCAAGTATTTTTTCCAAAAAAAAAAATTAACTCCATCTCAATATTATTATATTAATATTTAATTTCTCAATTGAGACTTAGAGAGCCTGAGTTGAGGGCATTCAAATTCGATATAAAATTGTGTGACAAATAATAGTTATGCTTTGGTTCAATTCAACGATATGAAATCAAATTTTTGTTCTTCATTGAAATCTTCATCATCAAATACATGGTCTGAAAGAGATATACACTACAAACTAAATTTTATATTTAGGACCTGAAGTAATAATAACCATTTCCAAAACTCATAAAGAGAGGCAAATTAGAATGGGAAAACAAAAACTAAAAGTAAGGAGTATATAAGCATGAGCGAGGATTGTGTTTGTGAGCTAAAAATAAAAGAATCAAGATGAAAGTTGATATATTTTGTTGGAACCTTTTTTACAAATTTATAAGATGACTTGCCGATGGAATCTGAGGCCAACCAATTCAGTTTATGAGAACAATGACCATTTGGCTGTGCAAAAAATTTATATATGTGATAAACTTAGCTTCTAAACAACCTGCTTATAACAACATAAAGTGGGTTGTTAAAATTCCATCAAATTGGTCAATATATCCATTCGTACTTGTCAATTCTCTGTGAAAACTTGCTAACCATACCCTTTGGATATTAAATATTCTTTACTTGATACAACATAAAGTGTATCTATTAAAACTCTAACATAACTTGTCGATTTAGCTATATTTACTTGTCAATTCTTTATGGAAACTCGTTAGAGTTTTAACAATTAAGTGCGCTTCATGTCATAACAAGTAGCGAAGAATGAATATGAAAAGAGTGGGGTTAACAAGTTCCTATAAAATTGCCAGCTGAATATAGTTAAATTGATAAGTTATGTTTTCGTCCAAGTATACTTTACATTGTAACAACTAAGGAAGATTGAATATGGAAAGAGTACAAGGTTAGCAAGTTTCCATAAAGGATTGACAAGTATTCCCTCCAGTTCTAAATATAAGACTTATTTTGTAGTGTAACTTACACTACAAAATGGATTTTATATTTAAAATCGGAGAAGTATATAGTTAAATTGACAAGTTATATTTGAGGCTAAAAAAGACACTTCATGTTGTAACAAGTAAGTGGTTTAGAACCTAAATTTATCACATATAATTAAATAGGTCTCCTAACCTAGTGGTTATAACTTTTTGGTAAGTTAATGAGTCATGCGTTCAAACTCCTCTTTGATTACCTTGTTGGAATATTTATTCTCTGGTGACAATATAATAACGAGAGCCGCTTGATGGACATTCGGTCATTCATCATCAAAGCATAATTTCATTTATGTTCTTTGATGCTTTGAATTATATCAGAATTTTTTTTTGAGACTTTCATAAATTAAGTGGCATATGTTGGACTATAATGAAATTGGAAAAAAGAAAAAAGTAAAAATCATTTCCTTTTGTCCGTCCATTTCGCAACTTGCTCCCCAATTTCAATGGTCATCCAAAAAATAAACAGCTCCAACTTACTATTCATCTGTCAGCTGAAAAAATATGTATATACACTATTCATCTGTATAAGATATGGGAATATTCCAAACTTTATATATACTATATTTTGGTACATTATAGAGATGCCTTAACTTGGTACATATATCTAACTGCATCAATTTGTTTGTTAATTAGGTTATTTAACCAAATTAACTAAACAATATTTTTAAAACATAATATAATTGATTAAACGACAGCAAAATTTTTAATATATTTAAATAGAATAAATTTATCTGATATTTCAAAATACTATATCACAATTAGTTAATATGACATTATTTTATTATATATTATCATATCGGATCTTATTATAATATCTATAATAGTAGTTTACATTGATATTATTTACTCTGCTTTATTTTTAAAAAAAAAAGAAAAAGAATATTGTTTACAATTTATATTCTTATAACCTATTAATTTGATTAGGTAATTATCTGATTTTATGATTAATAAAAAAAATGCTCTAACCACAATCCTACAGCCATAAAGCAATTATCTAAAGACAGGTGACTTTTAAAACTTATCGAAGAGAAAATCAATTTCTTATTAGATGGGATGGGCTATATAGATTGCATAATGCGTGCTCTATCAACAAATAAACCTCTCTAAGAATATTAATTATAATTAAGAATAAAAATAAATTATGGAAATTTAAAGAAGCACTTACACACTTACTGAAAATTAAATATTTTGTTGATTTATTTTCTTGTATTTTAGCATTGCTGGGATATATGATTATTCAAAGATGGATCATAAACCACATCAAATCCTACATAATCTGCACCACTGGTACGTTAGAAGACTTGTTGATCTCAACTTCAGATGGGTTCTCCGAGTTTGAGACTTTTTTGTGTCGATATAATATATAATGTTGAATCATGAACAGAATGTTATAGAAAACAGAAACCTGAAAACATCAAATAATATCACCATTAATACTTCATTGTTTCATTTCCATATAGATGTTAGCGTAAGAGAATAATCCGTACCAGAGAGATCATTAGTTTTCCTATATCTCCAGAAAAGTTTGCCCAAGAACCTGAGATTTAAATCTTTTTAGTATGAGATTATTAACTCAAAAAGATTCATGCTACGTACACATCTGCAAGTGCATGTCAATACAAACCTTGATCTATGGATTGTATAACCATTTGACCATAGTTTCCTATGCTTCCGGAAAAGTCCAGCAAGATATTACCAATGCTCCACCCTTCTGTACTTTTTCTCTTGTAGTTCAGCACAGCCTATAAACATATTCCTTTTAACACAAATTTCAAAAACATTGTACAGTTGAAAAGAAAATGGAAATAATAAATCCTAACCTGGGGCAGATATTTGATAACCGTCATACAAACTTGAATGCCACTGCAAAGTAGTTAATTTCAACATAATTCATTAGAAGGAAATCAATCACAAATAAACATTCTTATTTATTTATCCATACAAGTGGGCAGAGAAAAGTAATTAGTTAAGAAAGCATAAAAGAGATACCTAAATATTGAGAGGAGCCAGAGCCAATGATGATTAGACAAAGCAATGAAGAAGCATACTGCAGCAACTGACCAAGCAACAAACAGAATTCCACTAGCTATTTTTGACACTTTCTGATTTCCACGCTGCAATTACCAAAAAGAAACTTCAATAATAACTGAGAAAAATAACAAACATAGAAAAGTACAAAGAGCTCAAAGGAAAAGAAAGCAAGGTACTAACATCATAGATTGCAATTTGGAATATGGTAAAAAGTGTGAGTAGAACAGCATGGGATGAGAAAGCAACATCATTTGCTGCCACAGGTATCATCTGGAGCATAGAAGTGAAATAAGGATCGGTTTAAGTATGAAAGTTTTAAGCTTTGATAAGCATCTATAAGTTGATTATGTGATAATCTAACCTCGTTATGACCATATTTGTTTTTGTACTGCTTCTGAACAGTAGAGTTGAAGTACAGAGATGCATTATATATCAGATAGCAGGTGTGCTTGGTGAGATTCAATACCTCAAAATCAAAGTTCAATCCCACCACACTGAAATAATTCAAAACCCATAAGTTAAGCCAAATTAGAATGGTAAAAAGAAAGTATAATAAAAATATATATGATAAAAGAAGTAAGGACGTAAAAGTAGATGTATTTTGTTGAAACCTTTTCCTGCGATAATTTAAGATGACTTGTGGGTAGAAACTGATAGACCACAGAGTAAAAACAAGCCAACCCACAACTTCATAGGTGACATGAAGGGGCATTGAATTCCATGAAGCCATTTTGATATGAAGGGCTTGCTTATTGAAGCTTCTTTCCAAAGAAGAAGCTTAACAATTAATTAACAATGTCACTATGATTATACCAAATGATCACCTTGCTTTTTATATCAAAGCCAAGGCATATAATAGCTCATCATCGTAATTACCTTCTTGATTCTCCCAATCTTTTTTAACACCAATAACTTCATTTACAATATTTAAAATGCGTATTAAATGATTAAAAGAGAAAGTGAATTGACCAATAAGCTAAGCTGTTGATTGAAATGATAAGCAATCTCACCTTTATAAGGTAAAAAATACATACTCGAATTCCGAAAAGCATAGTTATCAGGAAAGATTTAACCTTAATGTTTTTGGTCTGACAGAGATTAGTCTCAAGCTCAAAATAACTTAAGATACTCTAACTTATTCCAAAAGAAAAAAAAAGAAGAGAGAAATTGAATCGAATAATAAAGTCAAATGTGGAGTGGGGATACTGCAGAGGAACACTGATGGCTTGTCATTAGCGACAACTCTCCATGACCCACCTCATACAATTATCCTCATTGGCTTCAACTGTGGCTCAAATATATTTGCTCATAATAAAATGCAGGGAAAAATAATTTGGATGTCCTTATAGTTTCCATTGATTTTGAATTAGATGCTTGAGCCTTTTTTTCTTTTTATTGGGTCCTTAAAACTTTCCAATGTTAAATCCGTTACTCTCTGCTGTTAAACAAGTACTAACTTTCTTATAAGTTTTTGTTAAGAAGCAGTGACACACCTCTAAAACATCTCCTCCCTCTTGCATTCATGCCACTACACCTCAACCCTTCCGCTCATGGTGGAACTTAATTAGAGACAGAAGGACCCAACCCCAACATCTCTGTTTGCGACGAGTGAGATAAAAGAAGTGACAAAAGTAGGAGAGCCTCCTCTGTTTTAATAACAAAAAAACAGAGTAAACTGAACTGCCCACTAGCAAAACAAGGCTACTGCTAATGATCCGACTACTATTGCAATCTCCCACACCTTCAAGAATCAATTAATATTTCCCGAAATCTTCACTATATGTGTATGTATATAAATTATATTATATGATTGTGAAATCTGTAATTTTCATCGAACCATCAAGGGACGACTCAAGCATTAAGATGCCCCGAACAAGGTCAAGCTGAATGGTGAGGGAGATGTTTTGGAGTTGTATCGCTGCTTGCTAAACGAAAATTTTTAAGAGTTAGTACTTATTTAACCGCAAGGGTGGACAGATTTGACAGTGGAATGTTTAAGTACCCAATAAAAAGAATAAAAAAGCTTAAGGACTTAATTCAAAATCAATGAAAACTATAAAAACTTTTAAATTAGTTTTTCCTAAATGTTTTAAACAAATATACTCTTTCCGATTCAAAGTATAGGACGTCTTTTAGAAAAACTTTTAGTTCATAATACAAGTCATCTTAAGTATTTTTAATTACCATTTTTTCAATTTTATTTCTACTTATTAGTCGTACACATTAGATATAAAAAAGGAAGAGAACCGAAATAAATTTAAATATAGATAATGTTGAAAATTATTTTTAATTTAAGATAAATTTAATGAGGTAAACCGTTCTTCTTTAATTCAATAAGATTGTTGAAAGTGAATTATATTTTGGAAGAGAAAGTATAAAGATAATAATTATTAGATTTTAAATTATTGTCGAAGAGACCATGCACTTAGAGCATGTGGGAGAGGTTTAATCTTCCCGACAATATGTCATATGGCGTTAAGTGAAATTTAGGAGATATAAGATCTCACACAGACAAATAAAAAATAAAACAAAATATTGAAATACTTACAAATTAATAGAAGAAAATATTAAAATATTTACAAAAACATAAAAAGAGTACTAACTTCTATTCTTATTGCAAGGTATATTTACTCATTACTGTCAAAGTTAAATTGCAAACGGACTCTCCGACTTGACCACTTTTATGTTTTTAATAAAATCATGTCAACTCGTTTTCAAACTCATACTAACTATAAACTTTATTAAAATCGTGAGTTAATTCTCTAAGTTCATTGTCTTTACGAGTTGAATGCGTTAAACATGTATAGGATAGAATTCATTTGAAAAATGTGCAAGAAGATCATGTCTAAACCCAAAAAAAATCCAAAATACAAAAACTAATATTAATACAACATTTTTTTGGGTGAAATATTAATACAACATTTTAACTCTAAAGAAATTTCTTTGTTGAGTATTAAATTATGTTTATTAATAAATTTGATTTCAATGACATGGATTTTCTCATTATATTCCTTTTAAAAGATATCTACATCCCATAAGTGGCTTATAATTAGGATCACAAATTTCTTTTAAAAGATATCTTATAATATGAATTGAAAGAACTACTATTACAACAATATCGGATTTAAATTTAAAATTTCATCTAAACATGATGATGAGTGGTATTACTAGTGGAACAATTAGCCATACGTTGGGTCTGTCAATTATGGTGGAATGGTGGAAGTTAAAAATGTTTGCGGTGCACATTTCCTCACAAGCAGAGTTAGAGTCCCACATCCACGTTGACTGGCACGTTACCTATGTGTGAAAATGGGGGTGGGGTTCTCACTCCTCATTGTGAGGAGCAGCATCAAAGCCAAAGTTTGCCTTGTAAAGTGCCCGCTACTTTTCCAGGTTCCACTCTATCATTATCACTTTTTGTTCTTTTCTATTTTTTTATTTCGTTATTGGATCCGCCACTTTTGGTTCATTTTGCCTCTAGCTTTGCTTCTTTTTTTTTTTTTTTTTTTTTGCCTCCCTAAAGTATATGTATCCTTCTATTAGAGATAATTTTATTCGAGGTACTATTAGACACTAAATGTGGATACTTCTTCCAATAGAGATTCGAACTATAGTTCGTCACATTGTGAGAGCCTCTTGCTTTGCTTTGACCGTCAACCTTTTTTTTTTTAAAAAAAAAAAAAGACAATTGAGGAAAAGATGCCGCAGTTGGAGAACATTAATTCTCAAGTTATCAAAATTCCTCATAAAAAATATCCAAATTAAACAGAAATCACAATTAACCAGTATTACTTTTAATTAGTGTTACTTATAAAAATTACAATCATCTAATAAAATTACAGTTGTTCATCACAAATCCAATTGATACTTAGGTTATAATCATACTATATACACTATTTTTATAGTAGTATTATATATAGCATAAATTTAATACATAAATGCATTTAAATAATTTAATATATATCATAAGTATTCAATATATAAATGAGAGGAAGACACAAAAATACCTTCAAATATGCACATCTCAATTTAAGAACACGAAGTGGCCTAATTACTGTGAAGATTATAGGAATATCCTGAGATTAAATTTTGTAGTTAAATTACCTAAATGCCTTTGTAGTTAAATTACCTAAGGGCCCTCACCATTAAAAAATTAGAAAAATAAGGGAGAAGGACCTCCAAGAAGTAATATTTATTGGGAAGGATCTTAAAAAAGTGTAATTATTTAAGAGGACCAAATATTAAAATATTATTTTAAAAATACTAAAGTACCCTTAACCAAATCTCCTATCTTTCCTCTAAGCACTAATTTTCAATTTTAAATTAAATCCTTAATTTAATTTAATGATTAAATCTTCAATATCTCATAGCAGCACATTTCTCTTTCTCATCCCTCTCATTATAGTACTTTCCATTGCCCTATACTAACTGTTGTTAATGCATGTTTTGTGTCATTATAAGATCATTAATAATGATAATAAGATTGTATAGACTTCACCAACTAATGTAGTGAGTCCAATTGTTTCTGTATAATATTTGGAGACTAATTTTGAGATTCCTCGTGTTAATGTGTCGGATAATATTAGTATATCAAACATTGGACGATCCATGTGATTTATTAATATTTTTTGTTGTTGCTATGTTGCTTTTTTTGTTATTTCAATTTTTAAACTTCCTACTTACAATTATTTAGTTTATAATTAT